CGTACAAAAATAGCAATGCCGGAAGCCAGGAAAATGTTTGATTTTCCGAAAATGTTGGCCCGGGTTTTGGTGATTTATTACAATATGGCATTTATACTGCAAGTTTCGGATCGATACATAGATAAATTTTTAAGCGACACCGTACGTGCTTGTTGATACAGGGGTTAGGAATACAGACTGCAACCCTCTATTTGTAAGTAGCGTATGGAGGGTGATTTAAACCAACATCAAATTCACTAATTTGAATTCTATTTTATAAAATAATGACATTTTTGGCCATGCCGTATATTTTTTTATGAAACATGTGCTTACCATAGGAAAATTAATTTCCCTCTGAAAAGTAGGATTTCACAATGACTAATTTTTGTACGGCATTAATATATTTTGTTAATACTGACAACAATAATCAACAAAAACAAAATGCTGTACAAAAAATGGTTTTAAATGGCTTGAAATATATTTTTGCAAATAAGTATTAATTGGAAGAATCTATTTTATTTTTACTACTATTTTCTCCTTAATACAAATTATTTACTACTATACGGCCTTTATACAATAAGAATTACAATATCATATAGAAATATTTTATATGCCGTACCTACATATTTGTTCATACAGGAGTGAGAAACCCCGGATGCAAATTCCTATTCTGACCCTTATGGTTTCCAATAATTGAAAATTGGTCGGCATTGTTGCTAAAACTTTATTTAAGATGTAAAATAATTTTTAAGTAATATGCCGTTAAAAACCATAGGTCGATAGAAAAATTATTAATTTTATAAATTTGAAAAGCTTATACTTATATACAGGGCAGCCCATCGAAAACCTACCCCGCAAGGCATTACAGGGTAGTAAAGAATTTTTCGGCAAAATCCAAAAACAGGTCAAATTTGTTTCTGAGGGGGACAACTTTTGGCTCAAAAAGCATATCAAAATCTTCAACCCCCTAAGTGGGGGTGCTATCCCCTAAATTTTTTCAAATGGGAATGGGGGTCAAGTGGGGGGTCATTAGAAAGGGCTTTTAATTCTCTATACATCGATTCTTACTTTTTGAAAATCGATCCATTATTTTAGAAAATATGCAGCTTTGAAAATACGAACAATATTTTTGACGAGAAATGCGAAAATCGATTTAATTTTACTTCAAAACTTACGGTATTAGCTTGGTAAATTCCTTCAAAAGAATTCGCTTTTTTTTTTCTGATTTGCGAATTCTTTAGCCTGATTTTGGTGAGCAAAAAATTGTCCGCTTTTTGTTTCGTATTTAGATAGGCCACAAGAAGTTGCTAGATAACTGTCTTGTGACTTGTAGTTGAAGAGTACCAATACTGCCGAGTCTTTTAAATTGATTAATTATGGTGTACTCAATTCCAGAAAGAGTAGAAATTATTGAGCTTTTTTTCAAAAACAATGAATGCGGAAATCGGGTCGCCGAACTGTTCAACCAACGGCATCCTGAGAAACATGCGTCTGGAAAAATTGTTCGCGAATTGGTGGCCAAATTTCGCGAAACTGGCTCCGTTCATAACAAAAAGAGGCAGGTTGAAAATCCGGTACTAAATGAACCTACGGAAATAGCGGTATTGGGGCAAGTGGCAATGGATAGTACGCTGAGTACAATGCAATTGGCTACTGCGACAGGAGTGAGTCGTACAAGTGTCCAACGAATATTAAAAAAATACAAATTCCATCCTTATAAGATTCGGCTAGTGCAAGAGCTAAATGAAGACGATTTTGATCGTCGTTTGCAATTTTGCGAAATAATGACTGAACGAGCGATAAACGATAATTTCCTCTTTAATGTGTGTTTTTCGGACGAGTGTACGTTCTTCTTGAATGGTTTAGTGAATCGCCATAATTGTCGTTACTGGGCTGATACCAATCCAAGGATTTTCCATGAGACACACTCCCAACACCCCCAGAAGTTGAATGTATGGGCAGGTATTTTTGGAAATTCCATTGTAGGTCCTTTTTTCCTTCCTGGAAATTTGACAGGCGATATGTACTTGGATTTACTACAAAATGTCATCGACCCAGCTCTAACAAATATCATAGAGGACGACCCTGCTTACAATGAACACGAACTGATTTTCCAGCAAGACGGAGCTCCTCCACATTACTCGCTCAATGTGCGCAATTACCTAAATGAGACGTTTCCAGGACGCTGGATAGGACGAAGAGGTGCAATTGAGTGGCCCCCTCGGTCACCCGACTTAAATCCTTTAGATTTCTTTCTCTGGGGGCACATTAAAAGCAAAGTTTACAGCACTCCACCTGATACCTTGGAAGATCTGCGAGGACGAATCATTAATGTATGTCGCGAAGTAACACCGCAAGTGCTCCAGAATGTTCGACAACGGTTTGAAGACAACCTGTATCATTGTATGCAAGTTGGCGGACAACATTTTCAGCATTTACTTGACTAATACCGTAAGTTTTGAAGTAAAATTAAATCGATTTTCGCATTTCTCGTCAAAAATATTGTTCGTATTTTCAAAGCTGCATATTTTCTAAAATAATGAATCGATTTTCAAAAAGTAAGAATCGATGTATAGAGAATTAAAAGCCCTTTCTAATGACCCCCCACTTGACCCCCATTCCCATTTGAAAAAATTTAGGGGATAGCACCCCCACTTAGGGGGTTGAAGATTTTGGTATGCTTTTTGAGCCAAAAGTTGTCCCCCTCAGGAACAAATTTGACCTGTTTTTGGATTTTGCCGAAAAATTTTTTACTACCCTGTAATGCCTTGCGGTACGTTTTCGATGGGCTACCCTGTATTAACATTGTAATGTAGTAAAAATGTATAAAAATTTAATGAAAAATATTATCAGCTATGTAAAATCTACTAGTTAAATATATATGCCATTGTTTTTTTTATTCACTTATGAAAAGTCAATTACAGCCATAATATATTGAATATAACATTTTTAGTTTATAACAAGGAATCTTCAAAATTTAGTAAATTTTCAAAATTTATTTGTTTTTTAATTCGAATTTTTAATTTGTATTATTAATTATATCCGGCCATGATTTAGTACGATAGTTTTTGGTTATATTTTATCAAAAAAGTGGTTGCCGTACAGGAATTAATGATTTTATCGAAAAAAATAAAACTCAATTCCAAAATGCAAGTAATTGTTTATAACCTTTTGCATTAATCATAATTTTCAGACGGCATAATTGTTAAGAAAGAATTATTTGGAGAGTTAAATAATCATGTGGAATCGATGCCGTACATTTTTCAATAACTTGAAACAATGGGAGCTAAAATAGAGGGTTGCGCCCTGCATTTCTAACCCCTGTATCAGCAGATACGTACGGCGTCACTAAAAAAGTTATCTACGTATCAATCCGAAACATGCAGCATAAATGCGGTACAGTAGTAAATCACCAAAAACTGGGCCAAAATTTTTAAAAAATAAAAAATTTTCCTGGCTTCCGGTATTGCTATTTTTGTACGGCATTAGGTTGAGGATCATTTTTTTTGTATAACCTATAAGCATACTTTAGAAACGCCGTACAAAAATGTTTTGCCGAAAACCACCCCCTCTTGGTGAACAGGTTTAGCTTACCTGTGTACTCACCTGTACCAACAAGAATTGACGGCATAATTTCTAAAGTTATTGTTATACGTGGTGGTATTGATTTATAAGTAATTAATGCTGGGTCAAATGACCCCTTGAAAATTTCCGATGGGCTTGTAGTCATCAAGTATATCAATAACTGAGTTCATGTAATGGTTTATTATGAATAGGGTTTGCTTCCATTTTATTTGTACAAAATAAATTTGATAATCAAAAGTCCTAGTAAATAGTAAATAGTTAATCATAAATATTTTTATGGTATTTGATTTTTGTTTGGATACTTTCCCAGACTGTAAATCAAAAAAATATAAAGTTAAGATAGCAGTACATAAACGTCCTACATTATGAGGGTCAGTATGGGGTTGCTTTGTTACAAAATGAGGAGTAGACAAATCTCATACATCATATAACGTTTCAAAAAAGTTTCTCAGTTCACGGTTAAAAATAGAATACATACAGGGTGAGCCAATGGAAAATTTCCACTCCAATTTTTTTGGTTCAAAATAAAAATCTGGGAAAACGCTCGGACACGTCGACTTTTGATTTGAGGAGGAACTATTTTTCAACTTTTTTCATCCCCGTAGCTTTAACTCCCTAGCTGGTGAGAGAACAACCCCCCAAATTTGAATAGGGGATAGGGGTCGTTCCATACCTCTTTTTATAGGTCTTATCGAGTTCTTTATGACCCTAAACTTCGCCTCATTATTTTTATCCGTAACGAAATGACAGCTTGTCAAAATAAAAATAAATAAGTATATAGTTTTTAAAAATGGAATGAATGGATGGATATCAGTTTAAAAAGTACCGAATTTTATTTCTCTAAAATAGTACCTTTTTCATAAAGCTAAAATTTTATGTGGCTGATATAGTATATTTTGTTCATTTACGTTTCCGATGAATAATGTGATATACAGAGTGTTTTAGAATGAATTAGCCAATCTTAAAATTTGTATCAAGATGCTCAAAATAAAAAATCAAGTTACGTGAAGGATTGTTTAGAAACGTATTATGAATATAACTGTTAATTTTTCAGAAAATAGTTCGAGATATTACATCTTTTACTTTAATATTCTGTATTTCAAAAACAGTGGGGTTTTGAAAACTAGTTTATAAGGAAAGTGCCATTATTTTTACTTATTCTATAGGTTTTAGAATTGTGGTCAAAATTCGGACACCTGGTGTAACTTAATATTATATAAAAGATCCTGAAAACAACATTTTGATACGGCCAAAACCTCATTAAAATAATGCCTCCCCTGGTTGATATACGCGCTGGAAGTTTTGGGTAACCGAAAAACGTGAAATATAAATCATCGAAACTAATGAAAGAAGTTAGTAGGGAGCGCAACATTTATCAGGGGAGCGTACCAAGTGGTTGAAAACAATGAATTACTACAATTTAAACTTGTTGACAGATTGCCTGCTGTGGGGCTGACGGTCCGAGAGATTACTTGACGCTACAACAGCCGCTGCCCTCCGAATGCAGGGACACCGTCACGGGGAATCCATTCTTCCATGGCTGCGTCGACGAGCTGACGTGGTTTTTCGAAAAGAAGTGTGCCTGGGTCGCCGGATTGGCTATGACAGTCTGCTTATTTCACGTAAGTCATTTATCTTTTTAGCTAGTAGAGACTTATGGCAATGCCATGCAAAGACGTAAACGAAGAAGCTGACAGCTAGGTATGCGCAGCTGTGATTTTTCGTACGTTTGTACTTACGTTTGACATAAAGTTATGTCATGTACGTATATCTTAAACTTACTTTTAAAATACACTCAGCAAAAAAATTAAGGGAACAGAAAATATCCAAGCTTTTATATTGATGCTTGAAAGTTTGATGGTCGTATCGAGGAAAACAAAAAAAACTTGAAACTTGAAGATTCGAATTTGAAATCTTGAGATGAAATTTTTTTTGAGAATCACTCTCGGCACAATCAAAAGAAATAATGTAAGGCAACAATTATTATAATTTTTTTTCAAAACAGCCCATGGACAATTTTTTTTCTGGCTTGATTAATGCCAGGGTCATTTAGCCTGATTCTTTCGCTTTAATGTTTTTTTTTATTTTCTGTACATCCATTTCTCACTGAGATATGTGCTATTGAGTGAAAAGTCACCGATTTTTTTATCATCGATCATCCTCTTCAAGGGCCTTTTGATATGTTTGAGAATTTTTTTATAGTCAGTATTAATGAAATAGTGCAAAAATGACTTTTTCTGTTATTTTGGAAAATCAACGACTACTTCGCAAATATTTTACCAATGTTTGCAGGCTTTTTTTAGCTCAATACATGCCCATGAGACCTGCACTGAAAAAAAAAGTATTTGGATCAAATGAGCAGATAGTTTTAAATGGAATTATTTGCCGTAAATGTAATTTTATTCTATTCAAATGTATATGTATACTTTCGTCAAACGATATGAAATATTTGCTATAATTTATAATTTTTTCTATATTATTTGAAAATATACTTACATAATTTAATTCAACTCTTTTATAGTTTTGAAATTTANGTATTTGGATCAAATGAGCAGATAGTTTTAAATGGAATTATTTGACGTAAATGTTATTTTATTCTATTCAAATGTATACATATACTTTCGTCAAACGATATGAAATATAATCTATAATTTTTCTTAGAATTTATATTATTTGTAAATGTATATAATTTAATTCAAGTCTTTTATAGTTTTGAAATTTATTATCTCGGACATTAGCTACAATATCTCTTACAGTTCATCATAAACTGCAAACATATTTGTTTCAAAACTACCATTTACTGAAAATATGTATGTATATTTAAAATTTAGTATTAATGTAGAAATTATACAAGACAAATGTAGTATATTATAATCGAACTTATGTTTTCTTGAAAGAAAATTGTAGCAGGTCATAAAATGGCGTAGGCGGGAAGTAAACACGATAGATGGAGCCACAGATGTAGTCTGTGTATACACATCTCCTTGCGAGTAAAGACAATAAAGCAGCTGGATTGATCTAAAGACATATTGATGAGGACCATCAATAAGTCCTAAACCGACCTATGCCTGGTTGGTTAAACTTACAAACGATCTTAGCTGTTGTACTTTGGCGTTTGAAACAAAATATTTTTTATTACTGAGAAATATTTATATCCAAATATATTCTTAAAATAAGTATATACAATCATTTGACCAAAACTATTCAATTTTGTGTTAAACGATACATTAATATACAATACAAAACATGATTCTATAAAATGTAGATGTAGATCACAAAATTAAGAATAGAATTCGTTAACCGTAATTATCAAATATTTATTTTAAATGCTGCCTATTTTTAAAGTAAGAGATCATATTTCTGGGTAGAAATTTAAAGTATTTAAATAACTAAATAATTTTCTTAAAGGAAGAAAATATTTTCTTGCGTATATTATATAAACGTGTAATACTTTAAATTCAAATGTTATACATTTGAAGGAAGGAATTTTTTTTTCGTGTATAAATTTTCCTGAATCGTCAAAGTTTTATAAAAAATCAAAGGATTAAAGGTTTATTGCTCCTTAAACATCAATTAAAGATGAAGATGAAAAATTTGTTTGCATTATTTGCGCTTATATGCCTGCTCCTTAAATTTTTTTATAAAACTGATGATTCAGGAAGGGAAAGCGGTTCGACCGACTGATTTCAAAATTATTTACAAACGTCGTGGGCATGTTTTGAGTTAAAAAACCTACAAACATTGGTACTTTTCGCAATATTTGTAAAGTAGTCTTTGATTTTCCAAAACAGCAAATAAAGTCGTTTTTGCCATTTTCAAATTAATACTGTATAATTTTTTTTCTCAAACATACCGAAAGGCCCACTTTTTGTTCGCTGTACGATGAATAGTTCATACGAAATCGATGATAAAAAAGTGACTTTTCACTCAATAGCTGATATCTCAATGAGAAATACCTAATCGTACAAAAAGTTAAAAGAAAAACCTATTTAAAGCTGAAGAATCAGAGTAAATGACATTGGCATTGATTGGCCATTATTCACTAGGTTACAGTCTTTCAAAAATCACTAAAAAAATTGAAAACTTTTTTGCTCCCTTAATTTTTTTGCTGAGTTTAGAGTAAAAAATATTGATAGTTCCTTAAAAAAATACATTCAAAATGTAATTGAAAAATTAAAAATACGGAAAAACATCATCTATGTCACTTGATTATCTGCAAGAAGTAACTGAAAAAATCATTTTTTACAAAGAGCAAAAATTATCACGAACAGATTATTTTGCTTGAGAAAACATAATTCCACTGCTTAGTATAGGATCTTTGTATGTTTCCAAGACATGCTCTGTAAAGAAAATCCTGCAAGTACTTAAAAATAAATTTCTGTCGGCATTTAAAAATGCTTTAGAACATATGATATTCCACTTAAAACGAACGACAAAGCTAACAATTTCTACTACTTATAAATAGACATGAAGCGTAAACATTGTATTGGAAAAAAAAATTCGTTTTTTTTCAGAATTTATTCTCTACTGCATCAAAATCAGCATGTAATTTGCCACATTTTTTATTTTGCGCTTCAATATTGCTGGCGATAGGTACCTAAGTATTGTCCCCTGAGGCTGTATCGACCCAACTCTGTACAGTATAAAAGCTGTTAAGTTTTTATACCGTAGAAAAAGTTCGTTCTGGGCATTTAATGCACCGTTAAAGAAACCCTCCTATTATCGCAGCAGGCTTCCGCAAACAAAGTGGAATATTCAGTTTAAAAGCCCTTAATAGCTCGTACTGCCGTAAATCGAAATTTATTCATTGCCCGGTTTTATTTGCCCTCCTATGTGCGATGCGATTGTTCTATATAAACGAGGGAGAAGATTTCAGAACAACAACGGCCGCAGATATTCCGAAATGTATATCCTTTACGTGCTTTAATCAAGGGATTCCTGACCGGGGAGGATATTACTTGATGATATTGTCTATACGGCGCTTGCAGACGGCGGGCATTAAATCAATGCGGGAGAATTTATGAATTGAATCGAATGCTAACCAAACTGGGACAATAACGGAGAAGTTCGATATTGTTTAAGTTATAGCCAATGATGTTATACTTTGGCGCTATAAATTTAGCAGACTTCAAAGGAAACAAATTCGAACTTCGACGTTTGAAGTGAGTAACGGTCGGGGGAACTTTCTTGCATACCAACTTTTTGACATTAGATCTCTAGTTCTGATCTGACCAACTTGAGCATAACATAATAAAGGAAAATTGTCATTGGTAATTTATTATATACCTTAAAACTGCTTTTAGCAATTACGTCAATGGCATCTCCTTTTGCAGTGTGTAATTAAAATGATTGGTCTAGTAAATAATAAATAATTCTTTACATGTGGTTACTTGAATTACTAAAATTACTATAGGAAACAGTAATAGAAAGCATTTATGATTTTGTCCAACACTTGTATATAATAATTTCTTTGGTTTTAAAGGAATAATGTGACCTATAAGTTACTAGTGAGTTATAAAGTCATAAGTCACTAGTAAGTTTTGGAAAAGTAATAAGTCAACAAATAACTTAAAATGCTACAAAATTACAGTCTACCTACTTAGTAATATTAACATTAACATTTATGGTAAAGCCGTAATTTTATGCTAAAGGATTATTGGAATCATTTTGTGATTGTGGTAAATTTATAGAACAGGTTGCCCCTTTGCTTGTGCTAGCTTCAGGAGTCTGCACCCCTTGCATCTTTTTAGCAATATCAATTTTGCTGGAAATTGACTCTTCTATATAACCTTCTGCCTTAATATCCCTTCCAGCATTGGCCAAGAGAGTTGCAGATGCGCGACGCAAGCTATGCCCTGTATATAAAATAGAATCTGTCAAGCCCAAAAATCACGCAACAACATTAGGGATTTTTGATATCTTATTAATACCAACACATTGACGTGTGCATTTTCCCTTTCGAGAATTGCAAAAGAACCTTTTATGCTGCACATTTTGAGGGCTTAGCTTAGAATATTTTCTAATTAATTCAATTGGATTAACACAAAATCCTTCATTTAACACAGCGAAGCTTCTTGATTTGTTCGTTTTAGTATTTGAAATCATGATGTGTATATACTGCCCTTTGTCCTCTATATTGTCTATGCTTAGATGGGTCAATTCCTCGCAACGGCAAGCGCCAAAAACTCCTAGTATGAACGCCACCTAAAAACAACAAATTTAATAAATAGGACTCGGTTAAACTATTCAGTAGAACCTACCTTATTCATAAGATGATCTTCGTCTAGAGCTTCACGCAAAAATGGTTCAATTTGTTCTCTTTCTAAGTCCTTGGATTTTTTTGGTTGAAAATATTTGTGTTTAGACTTTAGAAATGCCACTAGTCGTCCGAATTTAGAAATTTCAATGTTCTTGTAAACTCTCAAAGTTGACTTCAACATGGAATATTTAGTCCACAATGTGGATGGAGCTAATTTCTCACTTAAATTGAAAACATAAGCCAGCAAGACATCTTCATTTACACCTTTCACCCTTCATTGATTTTCCAATCTTGAAATTCCTTCAGTTCTTTGTTGTATATAGATTTTGATTTCTCTGGAATGATGTCTGCAGTAGCCGCATT